GACTCCTATCTTCAGTTCTGAGTAGGATCCCAAATGCAGGTATCTTTTTAACAGGTTTTGAACTGGAGTTCAAATTTATCCCCCGTGTCAGAACACAACAACATTGCCATGAATTGTCAACACCCACGATCTCAACAGAACTTGTGACATAAGGCGAACCCAGCTTGAGCTCCTAGTGTCTTAGGACCCCTCAACAATGAAAAGGCAGCCCATTTTCTTGGTTGATAGTGTGTAGAGGCTGATCATTACCCAAGTTACTTATTCACCAGGGACTCTTCAATGAGCTGCACAATTTCACTAACCAACTCATCTCGGGTATTTCTAGTGACCTTTAACACAAGGAGAAGGATGAAACAAAACGAAAAGGTAAAGCAAAACAAAACAGATCTATAAATAAGGGGTTGTTTTTCTCTACTTCCCACAGTGGGAAAAGGATCTAAGTATATTTAAGTAGGGTTGTTTCTACACAAATGTCCTGAAAATCCCTCACATACTCATTTCTGTACAAATGTTTTGCAAACAAAAAATCCTATTATATTTTGTTGAATGAAAATACATGAAGAAGGATAGGTTTTGAAAAACATTTAGCTATAAAAACTACGATAAAATATTCTCTAGAAACATAAAGCTAAAACAGCTCAAAAGCTAGACGACCTTTTGATGTTTTAACATCATTGTCAAGTCAAAAAGTTAAGAAATTATAAAATCTAAAAATAATAAGAACAATGGTTGCTAATTAAGAAGTAGTAACAAAGAAAATGCTACTAGTTAAACGTATTGAGTCCGTCTGGGTATTCAAGGTAGGCTTGAGTTTCTTGATGTAAAGCATTTCCAATAATAAGCAATCGAATTTGCTCTGACACTTTCTCAAAATATTAAAATGGCTCTCATTCAGTAGGTGGTAACTGGCGTGAGCTTCAAGGAGAGGTCCCCCAATTGCCGAGTTTTTGTGTTCAGCAATGCGTTGAAAAAGGTGTTGGGCTGTATTGCCCACATAATGAATGAAAATAGTCTAATAGTATGTACATACATCTTACCTCAATTAATGTAACATCTTTTCTGTTCTTAAGCTCATCTACAAACAAGATTGGTCGCTGTTTAGTGAGAGGTACAGTAGCCAGTATTGTGGCCTGTTGCAATGAAAACAGCTCACGAACTGAACTAATAAAGCTTTGACTAAAGAGCTCCATTTTTCCCACTTCATCTACTATAACCACTGCACCACCATCTTCAGTAACCTGTGAGTAACAAGATAGCAAAACATTTCTTTGGGGTGTCTGCTGTCTGGGGTGTTACTACTCGAGCTAAAGCACAGAAAGTCTTTTTGTCATGTTCCACCTTACTCACAGCCTCCATATAAAGTTGCATATTCATTATTTAATTAGGATAAAACTACCGGTCAGCTGGGTTTCATTAATGTTTTCAGCGGGAGGGCAGCTGGCTCTCACAGGCGGGGAAAACTTTTTGAACTCAGATCAGAAATTCTTTATAAAAACACTTTCCTCTAGATGGTAAAATCAGGTGTGCAAAATTAACCTCACAGTCGGTCAAGTTGCCTGGTGCCTAGCCCTTAGCGAAACCATTGAGCGGTACTAGATTTCTATCATGCATGCTGTTCTCTTATTGGCTACGTTATTTACTAACTATTCTGTTGTGGATAGTGTTTGTGAAGAGGGAATTAGATACAGTTTTGAACCACTAGAAGATTTACACTAAAAGATTATTATTTTCATCTTGATTCCTGATAACTGACTTGGACTGTGCCCTAGACGCTAGTCAACGATCATGCGATATGTAGAGGAAAGTAGAATTTTGAGTGAATCATTACCTTGGATTTGTCCAAGTTTAGCTTTATTGTTGGAAGTGCAAGCTGCTCAAAAGACTTGATATCCACTAAGTAATTACCAACTGAAGGCAATGCTCTTGCTCTGGCAGTCTGACCAGCACTAAGAAAAAGGTCATTAAAAGGATGGTTTCAGGGCTTAGTGCATGTGTAAGCTATGACATAAGCACATAATTATTGGATTCCACTGCCTATTGAACAATCAAAAGCTAATGACTTGTAGAAAATTTCCCTCCAAAAAGCCTGCAAATTATCAGTCACTAAAATAGCTGAAATTAGAGTTTTTATTTCTCGCTATGATTCTGATCAGAGTCTGTAATATAATCAATTGATTAATCATTGATTTGATTTATTGATTATTAATAGTAACTGGACCAAGTAGAGTACAATTCAGGGAGTAATCATGCGAGTAATTTCAAAATTGAAGGAGCATGAAGCATGAGGCTGATTTGAAATTATGCGCATGATTACTCCCTGAATTGTACTCCACTCAGTCCAAATACTAATTAATTGTATTTACAACAAATTTTGAAATTAAGAACATTAAGTCTTTGGAGAACTTATTTTGAGTGATATAATCAGTAGTGCTTTCCATAAGTTTTAAAATCTGTAGAAAACATTAAAAAAGAAGCCTTTAAAGCACGCATAATTGATGTGCGAACCATGTGGGTATCTCATTACAGGTATCCAGTTACAAAAAACTGTAATTGGATAACCCACGTGATCGTGCGCCGATAATTTTACAAGACAAATAGGTGCACGTAGAATCAATCATGATTGAGAATTCTGTTACGGATATGAGTAATTAATTAATAGGGCACAAGTCTTTGCACATGGGCCCCTCCAACTTGTATCCTTTATCACTCCGTGACTCCTGCACTAGCAATGCAGGTCATTCAATGCCTCACTACCCTGTTTCAAAGCAGTTCAAAGAAACTATGTAACTGCAATGTGATTTGTAGAGAATGATTATAAATATCACTTATTCTTTGATAACATAAACAGCTTACCCCTTCGTTCTTGCCAAAGGNCAAGACAAATAGGTGCACGTAGAATCAATCATGATTGAGAATTCTGTTACGGATATGAGTAATTAATTAATAGGGCACAAGTCTTTGCACATGGGCCCCTCCAACTTGTATCCTTTATCACTCCGTGACTCCTGCACTAGCAATGCAGGTCATTCAATGCCTCACTACCCTGTTTCAAAGCAGTTCAAAGAAACTATGTAACTGCAATGTGATTTGTAGAGAATGATTATAAATATCACTTATTCTTTGATAACATAAACAGCTTACCCCTTCGTTCTTGCCAAAGGCCCACGCTGCCCATCCAGGGTGACAACATCAAACCCCACCCTACTCCCCTTCTGGCTGTTACGAACTTCCTCTGTATAAAATCCTTGTACCTTGATACCTTTGTCTTTAAGAACTTCGTAAATTTTCCTACAAAGAGTTGTCTTGCCAACTCCTGGCGCATGTACATAAAAAGATTGTATAAGGTGTTTCAGCCTATCTTGCTTGCGAAAATGCTAGTAATTCTGTTCTGTAATGAATGCAGTATTACCTGGAGAGCCCGTCAGAAGAACATGAGTTCTTCCTCTTCCGGAAGCCATCTTGGAATAGCGACCACCCCTCCTTATCGCCAGGCTACTAAGCTTTCAAAACAAGAAGTTAGGGTGTTGCGATCAAGGGATATTTCGTGAAACTTGGAGAAGTTTGGGCAAGATTATTGTGGGATGCTCCGTGGATTCTTTTGAAAATGGGTAATTCACTAGCTCCACATTTAGAAAGTGCACAGAAGACGGGAGTGTGCTCTCTCTGCGGTAAAGGATTATCCGAGGTACAATAAGCTTGAATGTACATTTTATGGTTTCTGTTTATGATGTATAGAGCTTCAGGTTATATTGATTTTCTCCCGCTTAAAAACTAAGATTGAAGTCATATATCGTTGCGATTTTATCGGATTTTATTACAAATTGCTGTTTAAGTAAGCTAGTCAAGATCTCTGGGCTGATCTGAAACTTTTTTCAATTATTTTAAGGCTTATATTTTAAATGCAAAATGTTTGCGTTGTAAGACTAAGCTAATATTTTTCATATTATCTCTCCCAGGTACCTCCTCAACTTTTACGATTAGGAACATCTCTGAGAACTTTGGATATCTCCAACAACAAGCTTAAAGTGCTGCCAGCTGCTTTTGGAGGTTTTACATCCCTAAAGAGTCTTACACTAACATCAAATCATATTGGTAATTATTTCTTTAGTACGAAAGCTATTAATGAATAGATATACTTAATATTATTAAAAACTGGATCATCGGATAATGTAACTCAGGGGTTCGCTGGCTTAGCAATCAAGGTATATGAACCATTAGTATCACCCAACTAGTGGACTAATGCAAATCCTGCATTTTAATTGGCCACGCTACTAAAGGACTATTAGTAATAGTCCTCAAGTAGCAAAATTGGCGCAATTGAGCGTGACGCTTTCTTTCATTTTATTCCCAAGTAAATATTTCTTCAACTTGCATTTGCTAACTTTATTATTGCCTTTTCTGTCCAACTAGTTGGGTAGTACTAAAACAATTAGACCCTTCGCCCTCAAGGGCCACGGGTCAATAGCCCATTCGGCTTCACCTCATGGGCTATTTACCCGTAGCCCTTGCGGGCTACGGGTCTAATTGTTAATTATACAATGCACCACAAATATGGGAAGGATACTCTTAATTCTATTTTATTTTAGTTTTTTCTATTTTGGGGGCATTTCTAGTAAAACGATTATTCAACTCACACTTGTTGGTTATGAGATGATAAAAGCCAGCTCAGCACTGTGCACCTCATTAGCTATCTTAATCATCCCTATCAGTGTCCATCAAAAAAACAGTCTAGTTCTTTTTGTTATTTGAAAACATTGATTGTCTGGATATGTTAATATTATGTTTTCTTTGTTTCTTAGGGGTCTTACCATCAGAACTCTCTCAGCTAAAGAAGCTTGAGGTCTTAATTCTTAACAAGAACAGCCTCAAGGTCCTTCCTACCGGCCTCTTTACAAGTCTTAGCCACCTTAAAACTCTGTCACTCGCGTCAAATCAACTGACTGCTTTTCCTGAGGGCCTTGGTACCTCAAGACATCTGGATGTTGTTGATTTGTCTGATAACAAAATTCGTACACTCCCAGAGTCAGTCAGTGAGTTGCAAGTTGTAGAGCTGAATATGAACAAAAATCAAGTTGCTTCGATTCCAGTATGCCTTTCAAGATGTCCGAGACTGAAAGTGCTAAGACTAGAGGAAAATTGCTTGGCATTAGAGGCGATTACACCCCAACTCTTGAAGGAATCACAGATTTCACTGCTCGCTGTGGATGGCAACCTGTTTGATGCAAAACAAATGCGAGAAGCTGAGGGTTATGAGCAGGTATTCTGCAATGAGTTGATAAGGAGAATATCAACCAGCTGCATAGGCCTGCAATGCGTGTGAACTGCTGCATAGCTCTTTGTACTCATTGTGT